AACCTGCGTCAGCTGCATTCCCTAACAACGTGAAGCTCTGTACAGGGAATTGAACAAATATTTTAACCAACATCCCATAAACAATCTTGAGTTTGTACGTCTCCTGCAATAAGCAAGCAACAATCCCCAGCCAACATACGCGAAACAATCGTTTGGTCATGTTCTCACCGAGGAGACCTTATTGGGTAAAAATGGCGATTGTTAATATAATAACCGATTGTCGTGATCGATGAAATGACACATGCAAACTTTTACTTCATGCTACCTCCGATGAATTACTAGGATATATCGAGGTGGTATCGTCTATAGATTTTTTAGAGTTATTATATCGAAATAATCTAGAATACGACCAAGAGTGTAAAGTAAAGTTCATTATAATAATATACCAATCGCTTGATTGCTCTTACCTAACACTACTGTCAATGTACCCCACTATTATTTCGTTCGACATCCAAGGACGTATCATTTGTACGTAACAAGCAAAACATTAGACAAAGACACTGATACATTTCACTTTACTTTTGCATGCTTACCCGAAAATCGGTGATTCGGCACTGAAACGTTGATAGAAATCAGAAGCAATAGAAATAGCACTTCCGCGAGACAACAGTTCTCCCATGCGTCTCTATCAGAATATGATTTAGTACAATTGTACACCACGTATATGCAAACCCGTGATAATGTCTATGAATATACCTTTTATGCTGGATGGGAGAACAACTAGGAAAAATTTCGCGATTGGCCAAGTTGACAGCTGCATTCTGAAAGCGAATTGGCTTTGCACTAGTACAGGCCTATAATTAGAGTAACATTAGTATTAGTCTAAATTAATGGATTGGCTGTTTTTGCTACTTGCTGCCGACTTGCCTTTCTCTCATTCTTCAGTTTTGTGCGTATAGAATCTGCACTGTACGGATGCTTGTTACGGACCTGGGAAGAATTCTAAAGTATCTTTTCCGTTCCGGGTACCGGAGAATTTGTTGAAGTATCTTCTCTATTCAAACCAGCGTAATTGACGTCAGTTTGTTGCGTCCGTTGATTAGAGGTGGTCGATGAATGTGTATGCTGGTCAAAATAAAGGTCCATTCTCTCGGGTGTGCTGTCGTGATTAGACCTTCTTTGCTGTGGTCTATTGCGATGTCTTTCCGATGATTAGTATTAGCGCAGAACTTCAATTTTTTTTTCACGTGTGATCTGTGGAGAAATGTTATTGGCTGGAATCTTGTAGACTTGTAGCACGAAAATTGTGGTGTATTCTGGAATGTTCGAAAATTGCTTTCTGGACGTTAGCTTTTGCACTTGAGGTCAGATAACTAGTCAATATCAAGCGTTATATCGCTATCAAAATATATTATATTATATTAATTCAACGATACATCTACAATGATTCGTCTACCCAATCACTACTTTACCTTCCCCACTCCAATCAATTAACATTCCATACACACTTTTTTTTTCCACTTTGCGTCACTAAGCGGATAATCACGCTGTGTGTAATAAGTAGTAGCATTGAACACTGGCGGCGGCACAGTGAAGTTCGTCAACGTGCCGTTTAAACGTATATACAAACTGTTGTTAGGATAGTACACAGGGAGCAATTTCATCAGCCCTGTACCATATGGATACGTAAAACCATTCATAGCGCTGTCGATATGTGGAAAGAAAGTAAGATCGTCAGGGTCATCATACACTTGTGTTGTATAAGCCCGAATGTTTGTAGAGGAATAAAAGATCAGAACGAACAGAAAGAGATGGTGAAATTTGCCGATCATAGTAGAATAATTAGAACTCAAACTAGAGCTTGAGTTATGAGAGGCTTCGCCCCTTTACTTTGTGATTAGGTTTCTGGTTGAAATTTTAAAAGCGGCTTGTCTTATAGTTTAGTGTAATAATTAGATTATTAGATGTTTTGATAGTTAGAATGAATTTTTATCATAATTTACGTGTCTAATGCGAGTGATGTCTTTGTTGCTGGACTATATAGTAAGTGGAAGAAATGAGGCCAAGGTAAATAGTGGTTTGAAAGCATATTTTGTAATAGAAGTTGCCATAGAGGCAATGAGTAGAATTCACGAAAGGAACGTGTATACCCGTTATGATTTGATAGAATGTGAAACTTGTACAACGAAGGAATCCCAACTTGAAGTTTTGGTTGTTTTAATAGCTCGACCTTCACAACTTAATGAGCAGAACGATGGATTATATCAAGAGATTAATATTTTCATATGTTTATCTCCCCGCTTTGTTGAAATACATTTATTTTTGACCAGGCATATTATTTATATTCAAACATAAATACTATGGCAGATTTAGAAGCAGCCACAAGGTAGATCGGAGGAAAAATCTCAAATACGTAATCATATCACTACTTTTACAGTGCAAACCAGTCAATATGTCTCCGGTACTGGTCCCACGATACGATTTGCAGAATTTGACATAAGAATCCATCAGTGCCGGAAAAAACCCCTGCATGAAGAACTACCTGCAGCAAAACTCGGCTCAAAAGTGTTAATTAGACAAATTAGACATTTATAGCAACAAACTTTGTGTTGAACTTCAACCACCATCCCACACCCTCCCAACCTTGACTTTATCTCAACAAATGTACGAATCTCTATCGAATATTCCACAATACTACTCCTAATCCTAATCAATTACGAAAAAACGACCCAATAAAGCAGATAACCCAACCCCACTTATTTCAGGGAATCAACATCACCAATTCCTATCTACGATAGAAAGCGATCGAGAACCTTATATACAGAAAAAAACAAAAAAGGCAACTTGCCCTGCCTAAGGAATTGTACAATCAGTGTTCTGCAGATCACTTATAATTCACATGACATTTACCCACTAAAATTCTCTGAGCAAAAACTTTAATGTTGGACTCGGAAATTAATGTTGCAGATTGGATAATGATCTAAGAAAATTGATCGATCGTAATTCCTCCCATTGCATTTTCGGGAATTCTTCTGTGTGATTTATATTTTCTTATCGAATCTTTTATTATTTTCTTGTAATAATTGGAATTGTTTATTTGTTTCTAGAGAGGTTTGTGCTTTATTGGATAATGGAATATTACACAAAAAGTTGCACAAACTTTATTTTTCCTTTTCAAATGCCTAAAACTCGAAACTTTTTCAGTTGGTTAAAAATTTTAAACCGTAACTTTTATTCTGCTTCGTCTTCTCTATCATTCTTACGAATTATTTTCCTCTAAACTCTCTAATATAAAAGCCTTAGGGTTTTGAAAGTTGGGTATTTTATTTCGGACTATACCTACACCACATCAATTGTCACAATAAATAAATATTTCGACCAAATTCTTTGTCATATGACAATGAAAAAAAGGCCATATTATACACAAATTTCCTGATGTCAACAGGGCAAAGTTCCTCATAAATTCTTATCTAGTTACCGAGAAAGTTTCGCACAGTTATTATCTATCATCACTATATCGCACATGACACGTGACTTGATACCAATCCAAATGCAACATTCGTAAAATAATCAAATGCCTTTCTCAACTTCTGTACTTCAAGAGATGAACGACATAGTTGATGTCATTGATTTATCTTCAGGTCTTTCGTCTGACTTTGGAAAACTTTACGAAAGTGGCAAATATACAGACATTTCGATTAACGTTGGAAGAGAGCCGAACAACAAAATATTTCTTGCTCATGCAGTAGTGTTGTGTGCAAGAAGCGTATACTTTGAAAGCAAATTAACCGAAAATACAGAATCACCTAATAATATCCAGCAAGCAGCCGTGGCAGTCGAGGATGTTTCGCCTGAATGTTTTGAAATCTGCCTCAGGTAAATTCTCTTAGCTAGAGACGACTATTTATCATATTAGACATAACGACGTTCATAAGCAATAATTTACTTATCCGATCGCTTTATTGTAAATTATTGATGTTATAGATTTATGTACACAGGAAAAGTGACTCAATGTTCGAATGAGGTTATAGATTGGATTGGCTTTTTGGATGCTGCATGTACATTCGAGTTGGATGATCTGATTATCGCAGTCGGAGACTATTTGATTAATCAACAGAAGGAATGGATCCAACGTAACGTTTTTACAGTTCGTAAATATGCTTTATCCTCAAGCTTGTTAAGTAGGCTTTTGGATTATTGCAATCAAATCATGGTATCAACGCCAGAGATTATTTTTAAATCTGATGATTTAAAGAGCGT